CCGGTCGCAGCCGCGGGCTGTTCACCGGGTTTACTTGAAAGGATGGTGCTCCGCCAAGCCGGCCCGGTATCTGAGTCACTGGAAAAAACAAGTTGGGATTCGTTTAACATTTATGTCAGCTGATACCGCCTGCTGATGTCATCACTCCCTGACGTTGCTCATTGACTGTAATAATCATCTTTACAGGGAGATTCGGCCCAAAGCCCTAACTCCCTCGTTACATAATGGAAAACTCGAGAAAATGAAAGGTTAGGGAATGAGAAAGCAATTTCCGGAACTTTGGTCATCAGATATTTCGAAAGAAGAAAAAATTTTGCTATACCTGGGATTATGTTCAGTATTTATAAATTTTCATATAAATCACGAAATTTGAGGCTCGGGAAAGGACTCTAGCCATCACCTGTTCCTTCATTTACTCAGTTTCTGCTCATTCTACGCAAAAGAGATGATTTAGATTATGATTTTAAAATGCACTTCATTTAACAAGTCCATTCTGCACATTACCTGGGATATCTTATATAATATTAAACAGAATGGTGAATTTTTGCTTCATTCTTGCTAAGAAGTTAGAGGCCTGTCTCATGCAAAGGATGGCCATGCATGAAGTGACAGAAGGACAGGAGGACCATATAAATTACTACTCAAATTGGGGTGCTTTTGAGAGTGAGGGGGGCACCAAAATTAATGAAGCCAGGTCAGTTGACATACACCAGGGCTGTCCTGGCAAAATGGGACATCTAGTCCTCTGGTTATGGACAAAGGCTCCATCAAGCTTGTAAGAAAAGAGGTTTAAGAATATCGATATACTCATTGGAAATATGATTTAAATACTTGTATCCCAAAGCCATCACTCAAGTGGGAGGGGACAAGTGGTGAGGGTGGGAAGAAGCCAGGAGAACTGTACAGAGTAGAGTGATGTGAAACAGTGAAGGGAATGTTTATATGAATGTGGGTGGAGGCTTGGAAGGTCTGATGGAAGGGGAAATGAGAGGTCTGGAAATCGTGGTGGGATGACAGAGATGATTCAGTAACATAACTGGATTTCGGCCAGTTAGAAATCATTGGGCAGCCTGTTTTCTCTCCATCAGTCTTACATAATGATTTTGTTGACAGTACTTTTTTTCCTCAGAGATGGCTTATTGCGAGGTGAGATGGGGGCGGTGAAGCATCTCTTTGAGTCCTGAGCTGGGGTGGGGCTGGGAGTGGGTAAGGAGCTGACTTCCTCCTGGCAGGAGGACCTCTGTACAGCTTGATTTGAAGATGCTACACTCAGCTTTTTCTCAAAAAATCCTATGTCTAAAGGCTGAATGCTCTACTCCCTTTCCCCCACCAGGAAAAGGCTCAAAAGGCAGAGGATTTCCTGGCTGTGTATGTGAGAGGGGGGGAATGAAGGAACTAAAAGGGATTGCCTCATGTCCTATTCTGGCTATTACTGCTATGTAGCAACTACCCCAAAACTTAGTGGTTAAAACAACCATTTTATTGTGCCTGTGGATTGTGTGGGCCAGGGAGTCAGACAGGCACAGTGGGGTCTTGACTCTGCCCTGTGTTATCTGAAGACTTAAAATCGAGGGTGACATGAATGATAGCTGAGGGTTGGAATCACTTGAAGGCTCTTTTCACTTGCATGACTGGCACCTGGGCTGGGAGGACTTGAGGATCAGCTGTGCCGACCAGCGTCCCTCCTCATCGCTTCTCCATGTGGCCTGGCTTCCTCCCTGCATGGCCGTCTCAGATTTGATGGACTTCTTACATGGCTTCTTAGGATTCCAAGTGTCAGCAGATAAGATGGAAGCTATATTGCCACTTCCCACCAAGTCTGAGAAATCACATAACATCACTTCCACTGTATGCTATTGACAAAAGTAGTCACACGCCCACCCAGATTCAAGGGCAGGGGACATAGGTCCTATCTCTCAGTGGGAGGAGTACCAAAGAACTTGTGGCCATTTAGAAAAACTGCCATAATGGGTTTGGTAGTCTGGCCTGTAGATTCTTAGGGGCTTTCATTGACCTTATGAACAGCTCCAGGGTGGGCAGCCCATTGCAGGAAGCTTTTGCAAATGGCCCTACATCATTCCTCATCCCAACCTCATTCACGAGTGTTTCTCCTG